TTCCCACGCAATAGTATTGCGCTACCTCACAATATTTTTGCGTTATTTCGCAATACCTTTTGTGTTCCCTCACAAAAGCAGTTTATCACTGTTGTGCCTGCCGGTTTATCAACAAACTCACATGTTCAACATTAGCAAGTTAGCCTATATTGCTTTAATTCAGCTTCAGAATGAATATATCACACAGCCACGCATGGAAGTATGTTAAATGCCGATATTTTAACACAGTGCAGCCAAGCAACATCAATGTCAATTTCACGAACTTGTGGCGACACATCCTGTTTTSGTAACCGGATATTTCAAAATAAAAGTCTGATTTAATTCAGTTCATATACAAAACAATCTTTTGCGTGTGAAAGCAAAATAATTTTGCGAGGCAACACAAAAGTATTGCAAGGTAACGCAAAGGTATTGCAAGGTAACGCAAAAGTATTGCGAGGTAACGCAATACTATTGCGTGGAAACTCAAAAGAAAAAAAATCTCCCCATGTCCCCTCGCRGGCTCCGTATTTTTCCACGGGTTGGTCTAAAAAAATGCATTATCTCATTGCATGGATTTATGTGATAGTTTTGTTAAGCAGTAATGAATATTGTTTTTTTTTCTTTTACTAAAAAAGCACTTGTTTGATGTGATATAAGATTTATGATTGTTCTTTGAGGACTATAAAAAATAAAAGCATTTATGATTTGTAGCCTTCCCACATTTTTGAAGACGTAAATATGATCGTTGATCGTTGTCTCCATTTCAAACAAAGCAAGTTTAAAGTTAATTGTGCACAATCATAAAATACGTTTTCCTTCTACAAGACAAAATATAACAGATGGGTCAATCTCTGATATATATCATTAGTTCCACTGTAACTAATCACTATTTCCTGATGTGGAACAACTGGTCAATAAAATCAAGTGTTAAGACAGATGTAACAGTTGATGCCAGAATAAAGAAAATCTCCCTGAGACCTCAAAAATGTGTTGGTAGGCCACAGATTTCCTGGCACATACATTATGGTGGTTACAAAGTCTTCTCTCATTTAGATTGATTGGCTTCATTTAGCAGCAGAATGAAGATGAATCGGTTCACAATGCTGTGAAAGGAAACAATGACACCCAGTGAGCAGTTTTTCATTTTGGACAGMGTTGTATCACAGTAACTTGGTTCTGAATGTTTACTGTGTGTTTAAAAAAATTTAATACACTTCATCCATCCATTTATTTCTACCTATTTGTGAGCAGGTTAAAGAAGCAACTGTAACATTCTGCACTTCTCCCAAAACAGAGAGGATGCACATGTAATCTCTTCAGCAAGTTCTAGATCTAGCCGGGTGTCTCCTTTCAGCAAGATGTTCATTCAGAGGGAGGTGCTGACTCAGCTGACTAGTTTTGATGCAATGAAGGAGAACACCCACACATGCATGGAGAGAACATGCAGCCTGAAAGGTGAACTGCTGGTTTTAAAAAAAGAAGGAAAGAAAAATACACTTGTCAGTTGCTGAACACAGATGGTGCATTTAAGKTTTTTTTAGGGAGCTACGGTTAAAGTCTCAAAGTTCTTGACGAGTCTGTTGCAGGTCTGTCGCTGCCTCGCTCCGACAGAGGCCGTGGAAGCCCCCTCCT